GCTCTGCCTCTAGATAGGCAGAGCCAGCTGTCACTCACGCAGCTGGGCGGATCTCGACATCGATGTCGGGATCTGCTCCGGCTGCGGCGTCTCAGTATACCGCGAGCTGTAGCTCGCGGTATACTGAGCTTAGGGTGACGGGAGGACGCTAGTTTGTGTCCTCCCGTTACACTAAGGAGAACTATGGGGAAAAGCCCTGACCCCATAGTTCTCCTTTAAGCAAAGGTCCATTTTAAATTCCAATAGCAACTTCTGTCTTTTTAACCTAACAGATTTTATTTCTAGAGAATGCTCCTGTGATAGACGATAGTCTCATATATAGATATATGATAGACAGACTGTAGTCTATCACAGGAGCGAGGGATAAGTGCTTATTTGTGTCTAGAGATAAAAATAACAATGCTACACTCACCTGAAGCTTCAAGCTGGCCAGCTGTCACATCACTATCACCTCCGCTGCAGCAGCATTGGAATCTTCCTCTGCCACCTCACGTCTATAGCCAGATGATTTACAGGACCTTAGACCACAGAAGGAAGGGGGGTGGGTGGGAAGAGACATTGCAGGGACCGATCTAAAAAGAAGCCAACTGAGTATACCCCCCCTTTATTTTTATTTTTAACCTAGACACAAAAGAGCACTTAACCCCTGCAGTTAAGCTACCAAAAATTTCCTGGAGTTCTTCTTATATAAACACCCCGGTCAGCAAGTGGTTAAACATTTTACAGACGCCGCACTGCTTGTATGTAAACAGCCATTGCTGGCTATTTCAAATTTTGACAGTTTCCTGCTGCAGGCACAAAAGACGTTTTAAGACGCCCAGCTACCATCCAGAAGGCTCCCGTCCGGCCATTTCCGTTCTGCAGACGGGAGGTGGTTAAATATTGATCTCAATACAAATTATGAAAATAAACTTGGGGCCTAGGTCTCAAGCTAACCTTGTCTATGTGTAGAACAAGAAAAGGTTCTTTGCAAAACAAGCCCGCTAACTTAAACAATCGCCTCACAGAGGTATTGGCGACAGGGAAAGCCACCTTGTGTATGAAAGTTGTCAGGGTAATATCCCTGATATAAGAGACAAGTCATCTAAAGGAAAGAGCGGGAATCTCGCACTTTATGGTACTCAGGGCTAAATGGCAATGTAGACTTCCAAGCTTTTAGGAGTGTAGAAATAATTGAATCAGATAGGCCCCTGTCTGGGCTTCAACAACCAAGCCATCAAAGCCAGCGATTATGAAGCAGGGTGGTAAACTGGGTGTCCTTTGGACAGAAAATCTGGGAAATCTGGAAGAGTCCATGCGGTGGCCTGGAGTCTGCCGAGGTCAGTGTACCAGACCTTCCTGGGCCAGTTCAGTGCTAAGAGAGTCACCAGGATACCCTACATCTTCAATCTGCAAAGCAGATGAGGAAGGAACTTCAGAGGAGGAAAGACATAGATCTGATCCCAGAGAGTTACCAGAGCATACACTGCTTCTGCCAGAGGTTTTCTGCATCTGGAGACACTTGTGCAATTTGCTGATAAATTTGGAAGTTAGGACGGCCACATACAGCACCCCCACCTGGGACAGAGGTTTTGAAAAACTGTTGTTTGCATTGCGGTTCTGCTGAATATCATTTAAGCCAGCGTCCTCTGCATGTAGGACAGTAGAAAGGCATCATGGCACACTCACAAACTAGCATGTAAAACAACTTGTCTCACCACACCACAGTTGTTTTACATGCTAGTTTGTGAGTGTGCCATGATGCCTTTCTACTGTTCTACTGTTCAAAGCCCATTTCGTGTGCACCTTACTGTACAACTGGTAACAAATTGTTGAGTGCGTTTGTCGTTTGTTTTGCTCTGCATGTAGGAGACACATTCTGGATATAAGCCATACAATATCCACAAGCCCATCAATACAGTAGTGTAAAAGAACAGGCATGAGTGCTGAAGGCAGGAGAGACGGTGTAGGTGCGTGCACAAAATATGTTCATCAACAAGGGTGTGACAGTATAAATGTTATAATATATATATTTAGGGTATATGCGACACATTTTAAACTCTCACAGTGCTGGTCTGGCAGGTTGGCTGTGACACATTCATTGGAGCACAGCATGAAAACTAGAGTATTCACCCCATAGAACAGCAGAAGACAACTGTATCACATCAGGCTCCAAAAAAAAAAAAAAAGAGGGGGCACAAGTCCTAGTAACCTAATGCAACAATGGTCTGAAGAGCACCATGTGACATATAAACACAGCAGCGCAAATGTCAAAGTCAACCAAGACAGTGCACTAGGTGCCTGGAAAGCACCACAAGCAGAACCTGGTGTTTGATAGTCACATTACAGGCAGGCCTCATGTCTTCGTGATGGTAGCTTCAGTGCAAGGCCTGCAAGTCAATGTCAAGGATCAGCTGCAATACGAGTCCTGATAGCTCTGTAGCTAACGAAGTATCTTCATTGAGCAAACACAAGTAATGGGTTGCTTGTCCCAAAAGGAGGAAGGTGTCCACTAGCAAAAAAACAAACAAAACTAAAAGCATGATGAGAGTGGAGGAGACCCCGTGTCCCTTAATGAAGGATTAAGAAATATGCAATGTACCCTTTTCTTTTATCATTATTTCAGATTGAGTATCATTGTATTTAAATGTATGTGATTCATTATTTAGGAGTGCAAGCCTTGTATTTAGAAGTGATCTTTCCTTTTAATGCTACCTCCTTTTTCTATCATTACTACCCTGGTTGTACCAATTATGGACACTGAGTGGAAGTGTAACTCATATGCGTCAAAGTTAGCAATCTTTTAAACAAATTGCTGTCATTGTATTTCCTCTATCGTATGTATTAAAACATTAAAAAAAGATGTTGATTGATTC